GTCGTTGGCACTCTCAGTTGACATAATTGGCCTATCCTCCAAAGTCAACTTTGGTGCCCAGGGGACATCGGGTTTCTTGGACCCCGAAGTTGTAGCTGAGGCAGACCTCGGCCTCTTTGATTGGGTGGACTCAGAGGGCTGGGTCTCGGCAGACCTTTTTGCAGGAGCAGAAGAAGTCTTCTTACTCTCAGCCAGTTTTGAGATAGGCAAGCTATCCTCAGCCTCAACCGCCTTGGCCTTAGGCTGGGCCTTCTTGATTCTTTTTGGCTTCGGTAGGGGCATTGGTTGGGATGGTACAGCGTCAGCATCAATCGGGAGGTCGACAAGGAGATTTTGGGCAATTGGCTTTGCACAACCCATTTCGGCAGTTTTGACAAGGCGTCGCCGGCGTTTTTTTTCTGGTATTGGGATCAAGTATGGGGCCGAAGTGGATGGTTGATTGGTTGGGTCAGATGTGGACTCTTGATCTGTTCGGGATGAAGAAGCGGTTATAGTTGTGGCAGTAGGTGGAGAGAGGCTCTTCTTCCTTTTCTTCGGGACGTCGGGCAATGTGGATTTGTATGTCGGAATAAAGTTTAGTAACAGGGGAGCCTTGCGCTTGTGAATTGGAAGTTCTAGAAGCTTCTTTAAATCTTTTCCAGGGAAGAAGGATTGGCGAAAGTTTTTGGGTGGCTGATGAAGATCTGCAAGGCAAACAAACCAACATTAGAAATAGACAGAGTTTTGCAAACTTGGAAAAGAAACAACTAAGTATTGGCACTGGGCTCTTACCCTTGCCCTCTTTAACAGTTCGAGGAAGAGGGTAGAGGTGAACATTTTCGTCTGGGCCAAATTCCCAATTTCCCGAAGCAATGACAAAGTCATCCCCGGCTCCCTTGTTGGAATCCGGGAGGTCGGCTACAATTTTGAACTCGGTAGACCTCGACTTGAGGTAGTAGACATAACCTCTTTCCTTCAGGTTAAGGGGGCACATGGTATAACAAAATTGGATATCGGCAAGGGTGATCCTAACGTTCTATTGCCTAGCCAGGGCTATGATACCATTAATCACTCGATAAGAGTTGATGGTAAGTTGCATAGGGTTCAACCTATAGAAGTGGAGAACCTCGCGAAAGAGGGGATTGAGTGGAAGCCGGAGTCCACATTCAGTAAAGGCTACAATAGGAAAGGGCATCGTATGATCTGTGAGCATGATGGAATCTGAAGATAGGCCAATTCAATCTTTGGGTGTTGTGTTTTTTTTTGTTTTTGTTTTTGTTTTTGTTTGTTTTTTTTTTTTTTGTGTGTAAAATTGTGATCGGGATTGATCCCTGAGATGAATAAAATATGGTTTGTTGTGCAAATGTGTAAATTGTTTGGGGTTTTGTGAAAGAGATGAAAAGCGATGTGGAAAAAAAAACAAATAAAAATAAGAGATTATGAAATCAAATGGAGGAGAGAGAGGGGACAAGTTCATAGTGTGGATCATGGGTTCTGAATGTGGTCCTAAAAAGAAAAGTATCTTAAAATTAAAGAAAAGTGTTTGGTCAGAGTGGTGGAATATTAATTTTGGTTTTTCTTTTTTTTTTTTTTTTTTTTTTTTTTAATAATAATAATAATAATAATAATAATAATAATAATAATAATAATAATAATAATGGGAGACAAGCCCACATGGGTGGAATAGAAAAAAACATGATAATTATGTATAAATAAAAGAAAGGTGAAGACAATCTTAGTGGGTGTGATTAAATAAAGAAAAGAAGAATGGGTTTTGTCCTTGAGTAGAGAGAGAGAGAGAGAGAGAAAGTGGGGTATATGATGATGATGTTCATCTCGTGTGCCTGTGCTGTCTGTGAAACTGTGTGTGAGTATGGCAGTGGTGTGTGTGTGTGGAGGACCAATCTCATCAGCCAATTTGTACGAAACAAAGTAGGTAATTCTCGCTGGAGACTCAACATTTGATATTCTCGGGAATGAATCTATATGATGATGATGTTCATCTCGTGTGCCTGTGCTGTCTGTGAAACTGTGTGTGAGTATGGCAGTGGTGTGTGTGTGTGGAGAACCAATCTCATCAGCCAATTTGTACGAACCAAAGTAGGTAATTCTCGCCGGAGACTCAACATTTGATATTCTCGGGAACGAATCTATGCTTTTCTCCGAAACTCTTTCCGGCGAAGACGAAGAAGGCGGGGACGGTGACGGTGACGGTGCAGCCGGAACTGCCATTAATTCCGGCGATATGGGCTTTCTTAGACACAAATTTGAGGAAATTGGACTCGCCGGAGCTCCACCCATTGCCGCCGCTTGGACAGCAGAGTTGCCGGCGGAATTATGAAAATTCAGATGTGGGTTCTGAAGATGAAGAGTTTTACTCTCCGAGAGGGTCTTCTGGCGGCCATGAGAGCTCCATCGACACCGGATCGGCATCCACTTTTGTATTTTTTAATTTCCAAATTTTGGAGTGTTTTTTTTTTTTTTAGTTGTAATTTGGTAAATTGGATTATTATTATTATTATTATTATTATTTGAATTGGAAATGTGGATGTTTGATGAGTGGTTGCAGGGTAATGGGAAATTTTACGAAATAGAGACAGGGAGGAGAGATGGTCGTCTGCCAAGTAAATCGCTTGCGGATGACTTCCTTGATGTGAACGATTCAATTGAGGTTCTCAAATCCAAGCCCTTTAAAAAGGGTCTCTCACTCTAAGACCTTGTCCTTCTTAGTGGTAACTCTTAATAATTCATTTATATGAAACTGTTATATTTATCATTCCAATAATTTCATCGTTTTATTTTTACTTTTATTTTTTTTCTTTGTTCATCTCATACTTGATTCACACAACAACAAACAATCATGTGTCCATGTGTCTACTTAATAATAGAGATATTCATGAAAGATTGATAGAGAGGGAGAGAAAAGAGAGAGACTGAAAAGAAGGATTTGTATATACAATGTATGTTGTTATATATCTGCTTTTACAAGAGAATTAGGTCTCTCTATTTATAGAGAGGAGAAAGATACAATGGAGTACGAAGGCATAAGGTAAGATATTACAATAATATAAAAGTGTAATCTAAAGCTGTGCTTGGTAGTGGGTGTTGGCCTCCTTTACACCTTTGCTGGTTCCTAATGCACATGTACATTACAGCTTCTAATGCACATGTAGAGAGAGACTGAAAAGAAGGATTGTATATACAATGTATGTTGTTGTATATCTATCTTTACAAGAGAATTAGGTCTCTCTATTTATAGAGAGGAGAAAGATACAATGGAGTACGAAGGCATAAGGTAAGATATTACAATAATATAAAAGTGTAACTAAAGCTTTGCTTGGTAGTGGGTGTTGGCCTCCTTTACACCTTTGCTGGTTCCTAATGCACATGTACATTACAGCTCCTAATGCACATGTACAGCTATGAAAGTATAAGGTATATTATATGTTAACAATTCAAGAGGACTGATATTTAACTATCTTCTAGTTTGCTCGATTTATAAGTTTAAAAATACTATTTGAATCTCGAGTTTAGGCGCCTATGATAGATCCAATAAATTATGCCTAATTGAGCCTATGTGCAACTATGACCACGTCCAATTAGATGGACACACCACCACGCTAGATTTTATTATCCGATTTGGGCCCATTTGGTTCTAGGCTTTACGATCACAGCACCACAACGAAGCAAGTGATTGATTCCTATGTTGGGGACGACGACTCAAATGTCCCAACCAAGCCATCGTTGTGAAATCAATGGCAAAGATGGGTTGAATTGGTGTCAAGACTGGCTCACAGGGAGAGAGATAAGGGAAAAGTGCAGTGCTTTTAACTGATTTGAGAGTCCTCAATTTTAGCTTTGAAGATGAAACTGTTACAACAAGTGCTAATATGTGCAGGGGAGATAAATAACTGCTTTACTACTTCCCTAACAAATATTATATATGTAAATTTCCTACATTAAATTAAGGGTCTAATATATGGAGGTTAGTGAATTAAAAGAAGGTTGGAATCATCTGTGAACCAAACTGTACCACTACAATGTGAGTCTGGATTCTCTGCCATGGTCTCCTGCGGCGCTCCCTGCTGTGGTCTTCAAAACGACGTCGTTTTGATTTTTTTTTTTTTTTTTTTGTGGGGGCCCTTTTCTCCTTCGCATTTTCTTTCTCTTTCATTTGCTTGAACCCTGACCCGTTGAGAGAACCAGAGGTGAAACGGAGTAGTAGGCCTTGGTCCACTTTGATCAAGTTTGCCATGACTAGCCTGGCCCCAACCATCAGGCTTATCAAAAAAATTAATAATAGTCACAGCCTCACAGGCTCATGCATCATCATCTATTCTATTATTTAAAGGTAAAAATTCTATTACTAATTTTGTCATATTTTTTTTCTTTTTCAAGAATGTCTCTCAAATTGTTAATTATTCAGCAAATGTTCTAAACTGTTTTCAAATTGTTCTAAATCATTTTCAAATTCAACCCGCCTTCTTTATTTAATTAACTGCTAAACATAACATCACAAAAAATAAAATTTCAAAAAAAAAAAGAAGAAGAAGAGATTCAAATAAATGAAAATAGTGTCAATAATCAATAAAAAATTTCAAATAAAAAGCATGTAAATCACATGAATAATTAGATGAGAGACGAGACCTATGTTAGTTCGTGCCATTTTAAACTTTATATTGATAAGAAACACCACTAAAATAGACCTACTATTGCATCCAATATTTATTGGAGAAGTTGCACCTATTGTGAATCTATGCATTAGAACAAAATTAGAATTCGTTGTAAAACTGAGATTTATTTGTAATATGACCCATGCTACATGTCAGCTACAAATAGCATTTCTCTATGTTGGATATATGTGAACCATTAGAAATGTGCCACGTCGATTTGAATCACCATTTGCCTAGGTATTTCAATTGGACTAAGACACCTTTTATTAAAAATGAAATTTTAAAAAATGTGACCACCACTGAATTGAGATCAGCACTGGAGGAGCAGGGCAGAGCAGAGAGCAAAGAAACACCAAAGTGACATGAAAACCCATTACCACAAAACATACATCCAAATTCACCGACATATCCTATATTTGTTATTTGTAGCATTTTGTGACCTCTAATTGGCATTTGTCTTCAGTGGTAGCACAAAAACTACAGAACCAAAGACACGATGTTAGGTAAGCTAATAAAATTCTGAAAAAAAAACAGAGAACACTATAGAGTAGCATCAAATGGGGAATGTGGGTACTACTACTACTACTAGTACAATTGTCTAATTGCACTCCCTACAATCCCCGGTCTTGATGTGCCAGTGCCGCAATTGCTACTTGCTCGATCGCTTCTCTTCATAGCTCGATTGCTTCTCTTCATGGGGCTGGGACTTTTCCAGTCCTATCTCCAGCGATCCATCGGTATTAGGAGGTTTCTTGGCTTCACCCTTGTTGTTGCGGTATATGACATATAAGATCAACTGAATCACTCCTAAACCGCTACCAAAACCATTAGGCACCTGCAAAAAAATAAATAAATAAAAATAAAAATGTAAAAAATTAGACTTTTGGGATGTAATGTAACTAAATTGGTTAAAAGTGTAATGTAACTAAAAAATAAGACTTTTAGTACTTACAGCAACAAAAGGGTCCTTTCCGAGCAGTCCAAAGACGAACCAGGAAGTGCCGCATAAGAACACAAACAGCGACAAGAAAAATGGCATGAACTCCACACTTTTGGTTTTGATCACCATCCTCTGTATACATAAAACTCAATTAGCCAAAAATTGCATGAAAATAACCAATAATTGTATAATGAAAACTCAAAAAGAGGAAATTACGCGTTAACCAGGGCTTACGCACCATGATTGATAGAGGGGAAGCGTACATGATGATGGAGAAGATGGAGGCAGCTAGACCGCAGAAGATCTTTCTGTTTTTGCCATGAAGAGCGAACATGGAAATGAGGGCGACTGCAGTGAACACGCTGAGCACAAAGATGAGAAGTCCTAGGATCTTGCCCTTCTCTTTCTTTGGTGCAAATATGATGAAGATGAACACATAGATGGCCTCAATGGCTGCACCAGTGCCATTAATGGTTGAGACTAGCATGTTGTGTGGTGAAACAAAAGGCATGCCATACCTATTCATCAGTATAGATTGTCATATATAAATATCATGAGGATATGGCATAACTTGTGTATAATAAAATTGGGGTATCTCTTACTCAAATTTAACAGAAAATGCAGATTAGAAGAGTTCTGTCATTTTCTTCAAAATTTGTCACATATATTTTGTAATTAACGGAGTTGATTTTGAAATTAAAAAATATAAGGTAGGTCACTCACATATCTAGTTAGATACCAAATTCATGAATAAAAAAACAAAAATATAGGACACAAATATATGATTTTATTCTACTTTAACAAAGCACAACTATAATTTATTTTTATTTTTTTATTTTTATTTTTTTATTTTTTTTGTGGGGACTTAGTAGAACACTCTAGTGACTTGGAATACTAAAATCATAAAATTAGGCCAAGTTTGGGAAGATCCAAAAAAGTCAAAAAGTCAAAAAGTTACTCAAAAAGCTAAAAAGTTAACACTATTCACCAAAAGTCAACAATTACGGCTGCACAACTCCCAATTCAAATTTTTCCCTACAAATCAATTTTTACAATTTTTTATTACACATTTTTCAATAAAAAGTCAAAAAGTTAACCCAAACATCCATATTTTCAACCTCAATTTTTTAGTCCAAAAAGACAAAAAGTGCACTTTTTTAGTCTTCCCAAACTTGGCCTTAGTTAATACGATAAATTATACAGGGGCAATTCTGTCATTTAGCATGCCAAATTAGGGAGTGTTAATACACTCCTCACCAAATTTTTTCCTACACCTTTATAGGCCTTGTTTGGAAAGCTGATTATTTTAGTTCGTTATTTGACTTTTTAGTTATTTTAACCTGACTAAAAGAGTTGTGTTTGGGAAATTAATTGGTTTTTTTTGCATGTAATTGATTTGATGGTTATGAGGGAAAAAAAAAATTATGCATAGTATGTGACATTTTATATTATTAATCATTTGAATTTATTTTGTCTTTTAATGGACTATTTTAGCCCAACTCCCTTTCCAAATACCCCCAAAATGTACAACTGTTTCTACATAAGGTACAAGTTTTATAATGCATATATGGGTGGAGAGAGAATTTTAGTGGGTGTTTGAATTTAAAAACCGGCACCAAATGTAAGAAAACAGAGAATTAGTGTGACAACTATACCGTCACGATAATCATGTGAAGGAAGGTAAAGTAGGAAGAAGCAATTTCATGAACACACTTACCAAGCAGAAAGCAAGCAGTTGAGCAAGGTCATGACGTATGGAATGCCTGAGAATTGTTCGGTGGATTTGCTCATGATGATCCTCTTAAATGTAATCCTAACCAAAATCAACAAAACTAGTAAACTCATCATTGACAATGAATGATGATGATCAATCACCCTTGAAGAAATTAAGTTTGCGTGTGTTGTGTGTTCATCAACTTCTTGGAAAACCCTCTTGAAAACTAACTCAACCACACAAGTACAATCCATCAATTCATGAAATTTCTACAAACTTCAAAGAGAGAGAGAGAGAGAGAGAGAGATTTCATGAACACACTTACCAAGCAGAAAGCAAGCAGTTGAGCAAGGTCATGACGTATGGAATGCCTGAGAATTGTTCGGTGGATTTGCTCATGATGATCCTCTTAAACGTAATCCTAACCAAAATCAACAAAACTAGTAAACTCATCATTGACAATGAATGATGATGATCAATCACCCTTGAAGAAATTAAGTGTGTGTGTGTTCTGTGTTCATCAACTTCTTGGAAAACCCTCTTGAAAACTAACTCAACCACACAACTACAATCCATCAATTCATGAAATTTCTACAAACTTCAAAACAAGAGAGAGAGAGAGAGAGAGAGAGAGAGAGAGAGAGAGAGAGAGGAAGTTATTCGGGATGCTTACGTTGGTGCCAAAAACAGCAACAACCCATTAGCATTTCCTGTTGGAAGAAACGGAAACGGAAACGGAAACAGAAACAGAAACAGAAACAGAAACAAATCTTTATTAATTAGCAAGAATTGAAACAAAACTGAGAGGAAAATAATCCATATAGAGAAATGAAATGAAATGAAACGAAACAAACAGAAAACAACCCACCAAACACTCCAAACACGAAATGCGCAGTATTACCCATATCTCTCTGATCAAATCTTCCCTTATTCACTAACCAAAACCCAAATACACAACAAAATTATGAAATCAAAATTCAAAAACCAGAAAGCAAAAGAGAGCGCTCAGAACTGGAAACAGATTTTTCAATTCTTGATAACAAATAGTATTAAGAGGTTAGAGATATAGTAAAAGTAATGAGAGATGAGAGAGGTATATATAGAAGAAGAACACAGGAAAGGAAGAAACTACCAGAGGTTGTCGCAGTAAAGTATATGGATTTTGTTCTTATCCGTTTGTATGCTTTGGTAATGGGTAATCAGAACTGTTTTCTTCTCAACACTCCTCTCTCTCTCTCTCTCTCTCTCTGTAACTGTAAAATGGATTAAAAGCGAAATGCAGAGAGAGAGAGAGGGGGGTGGTTATTCAATACTTTCAGCCCATGTTTGTTTGGGCGGACTGGATTATGATTTTCATGACTAATAATTTTGGGATTACGAATTCGTTGAATTATGTATCCTATCTTAACTAAAAGTCAAGTTTAAAATAATTAGTCTGTACTTCAATTGTTTAACTAAATATCGGATTAATAATTTTATTGGACTATTAATCCAATCCCAAACTCATGTCCACCCAAACAAACATGACCTCAGAGTATAGACACGTCATGCTCCATAAGATTTTGATTGATGGAGAGACACAAGAATTTACGATTTATATTGGGATAAGAGAATAACATAAGACTAATTACTTAATGATTGATTTAGAATATGAACACGTAAATATTGAATAATTTCCGGAGAGGTAGTGGTTAAAAGTGGGCTTAAAGGGCATAGACGGTTATTTGGGCGGTGCAAGTTAAGTTAAAAGTGGTTAGGAACCGTATTTGCCATTTTATGATTGGGAATTAAACCGACCCAAATTTTTTTTGTATCCCCATCCTCATCTCTCATTTCCTCCCAGTTCCTTACACGTCATTTTTATGTGACACGTGGAAACAAATAATAAATAAGTAAAGTAAAAGCATTTTATCAACTTATTTTTTAAATTATTTGCTGATTTAAGTAATCTTCTTGTTCCTAACTTATACAAGTTCAGAATTTTAGTGTTTGTAATATTTTGTAAAATATATTTACTTGTAACAAGGAGGATAAGTTAAAAACTAGGAACAAATTTCAATAAATTCTTGTGAAGTTTAAGGAAATGAATTAAAAGAAAAAGGTCAGCTAGTGTAATTTTATTTTTATCGAATTTTAATATTAGCAGATATAGTCATGATTTAATGGGTTAAGTCCAATTACTTTTTCTTTTGTTTGTTGATTTCTACTTTTTAGAATTGGATTTTATTGGCATAATGAAAAGCAGGGATATTTGGAGATTCAAAACTTAACTTCTCTCTCTCTCTCTTTTTTATTTTTTTTTATTTTTAAATTCACAAGAAGTTAAGTTCAAATTGTTGTTCAAATGAATGAACTTTTTCAGCCGAATTTGATCCATGAAAAAGGGAATCACGCTTTCTAGACAAATATATAACATAATATTATTAAGGGGTTGTTTGGAGTGTTCTAAATAAGTGTACTTTTTGTCTTTTTGGACTAAAAGTTTCTCTTTTATTTTATTTTTATTTTTAAATTCACAAGAAGTTAAGTTCAAATTGTTGTTCAAATGAATGAACTTTTTCAGCCGAATTTGATCCATGAAAAAGGGAATCACGCTTTCTAGACAAATATATAACATAATATTATTAAGGGGTTGTTTGGAGTGTCCTAAATAAGTGCACTTTTTGTCTTTTTAGACTAAAAATTTGAGGTTGAAAATATGGATGTTTGGGTTAATTTTTTGATTTTTTATGAAAAAATGTATAATAAAAAATTGTAAAAATTGATTTATAGGGAAAAATTCGAATTGGGAATTGTGCAGCCATAATTGTTAACTTTTAGTGAATAGTGTTAACTTTTTAATTTTTTGAGTAACTTTTTGACTTTTTAACTTTTTTACAAGTTCCCAAACTTGGCCTAAATTTTCTTGTGTGAGAACTCACTGTCATCATGTCCCAACATAAACAAGGAAATAATTGAATTAATCAGTTTTTCATTTTGGGAATGATGACTGAATGATATTAGATTTCTTGGAATCAATTGGAATTGATCCATAGAATTGGCAATGGTTACCTTTCATATCCCATTTTGTATGTCTATTGCTTCCCTTCCTCCTATTATAGTCTAAACAATCATCTGCAAATAAAAAATTGATATAAATTTTCATATCGAGTGATATAGCAAATGTTTTTTTTTTCTAAAAACATAAATTACATTGATTAATGTTTATTTTTTTTAAATGATAAAACTCAAAATTATCACATCAATTTGAATAAATATAAATTTTATGTTTGTATTTTGCTACTCACATAGTCCATGTTACATATACTTAAGATGCTCAATTGAAGCTAATTCTCAAATAGAATGATTGGCTTTTTGGAATTTCTTTCATTTCAAAAAATAAATAAATAAATAAAACCTCATAGGGTAAAAAAGATCACAATATCATTCCAATAGTTTTTTGTTTTTTTTTTGTATAATTATTTTATTTTCAAATTCTGAAAGGTAAATGGCATTCGAATGTGAATATATTAATTTATTTCTATTATATAGTAATATTTTTATTTCATTTTTTTCAAATAGTCATTGGAAATCATGATTATAGAGATGCGCCCCCCACTGTAGCCTGGATTGGCAGTTTATGAACAGTGTTCAGTTACACATACGACATGTGATGGGTCCCCACAATCTGATTCAAACCAAAAACCAAATGCTTGGCCAACCCAATTTCAAATACAAAACCAAAAACATTGTACTTTGTTTTCGGAACTTGAAGCATATGGTGCAAACTTAGGAGAAATTATTGGATGTTGTTGGATCAATGATTATTGATATAAAAGTGATGAGTTGTGTAATTTAGATCAATAATTATTAATTTAGAATATCACTTTGACTTGTTTTGGAAATACTAAATAATTTCTTCAAATTTAGAAATGAAGCAATTAGGATCCTTCGTTTGAAATGATTCATAAAAGAAAGTCGTCTTTGCATGGGACACATTAAAATTAAAAAGAAGGCCAATTCAGTTCTATACCAAAAAAAAAATAGAAAAAAAGCAACGGCTCGTTGCAGGTATCTTTACAACGTGGGTCATTTAGAGTAACTTTCATGTGATGCAATACAATAATTTTTTGAACAATATTACATGAACCAACAAATTTTATAAATTTTTCTTATTTATATCAAATGTATCATATTATTTCAATGCATCTCATTTCTTATATTTTTTATAAATACATATATAAATATATACATTCTCTAAAACAACACAAGCGTACAAATGTGAGATAAATTTGTGATTATTTCTATCTTTTGATCATTTGTCTCACATATGTGATTATTTATATATTTTAAATTCTATATGTGAACCACATTAATCACCCACCTAAAACAAAAACAAAAATTACTAAAATAGCCTATTTATTCTCCTGCAATCATAATTTGTAAAATATGAATCTGCTTTATTATGCTAGCTAGCAAATTTGAATGAAGAAAGGATCCAAATGATCCAACTCATTTTAACTGTGCAGTAAAGCAAGAGACCTTAGGTTATTCTTGTGATACCATGTGATATACATATGCCTAGTTTTGTTGATTTTACAATCATGTGATGAGATGAGATGAGATGAGATGAGGGTAGGTCTAACATGTCCCATTCATTACTGTCTTTTTGAAAGCTTGTGGACAATGAAAGCGAAGAGAGCCCTACAAACTTCACATTTACAAAGGACAATTTCTTTGATCTTCTAATTATGGCAAGAAAAGTGACTTCTTCCCTAATTTGTATCAATGTTGGCTTCGAATATTCCTATTTTGATTTGTATTTTTCATGCTTGAATTGTGATTACCAACTAACATTTTTTGTTAACTTTTGTTTTCCTTTCTGTTAACCCATACACAAAAAATAAAAAATAAAAATACAAAAGCTTTATAAAAAATAAAAAAAATAAAAAAACATCCCCCCTCTCTCTCTCTCTCTCTCTCTCTCTCTCTCTTATACATCCACAAAGCCATTTATTTTGACATTTTAGGGGTCTTTTGAGAAGTGGGTTATAATTCAATTCTCAGATTATAATCCACTTCCCTCTCTCATAAAAAGTTGATTATAATTAACTTTTAACCAAAAAACTAATTATAATCATCTTCCCAAAATAGTCCTTAATTGAAATTATGTGTATCTACTTTATGTCAATTTATACACTGAGAACAAGGCTTGAGATTTTCATTTTTTGTCTTCACATAAACGTGGTATTAAAAAAAAAAAAAATACAAATTTAAAACACCAGAATAATTCCTAAAGTTTCTCATTGGTGTCAATTTTATTATAATAAGACACGTTTAACATTTAACTTCTCAGTTTGCGTCAATTAGCCAAGTCCAATTATTTACCGGCATTAAGATTTTTTTACAGAAATGATCACATGTGCGAGGCATGACCATGTTTTAGGGAAAAAATAAAACATGTCTGCATAATATATCAAAATATATCTATAATCCTTAACGACAAATGATTCAAGTTGTTTAAACAATTCAAGCTTAGTTTATTTGTAGTTGTTTGAACTCATTCAATTGTGAGTTTGAATCAAGAAAGTTAGCATTTCGTTAATGGTTTTCTTATGTTGTATTTGTGTTCATTTGACTTTGCGTAAATTGAGTTTATTATTTTTAAGAAATTAAAGAAAGCTTGTTTGGCAAATTATTTTTGGAAAGACAAAAAAAAAATTAAAACAACCCACTCCTAAGAAACACCACAAAAAAATAATAATAAATATAAATAAATAAATAAAATAAAATTGAATTTCCATAAACTGTATTCACAAAAAAACAAAAACGGAGTTAACAGTGGCGGAACCAAGAAATTAAGTTAGAGGGGCATTATTAATTATAATTTTTATTTATAAAAAAATCATAATCAACATTATAATAATAACAATTTTATGAGCTAAATTTAAGCATAAAAAATTACATATTCATTATTAATAGAACAAATTAAAATTCTATAATAGTTTAGAATAACTTGGTGCGGGATGGTAATATAAGTTTGCAATTTTAGCACAAAAAATTATGGATCAAAATTTCTAATTTTAGAAAATAAAAACACATCATTTATAGCACAAATTATTATAAAATCTATTTAATTTTTATTTGACAAAAATATTAATGAGATGACATTACTTATAAATGATATGTTTTGAATAAAAATTATTAAATAGTTTTCGAATACCATATAGCATTGCCTACGTGATGCTCAAAGCATGGAAAATCACAGTAAGTAGTCTATCAACTGCCTGAAAATAATGAGTTCATTATATCTAATCTATAAGATTTTTTACTATACTATTGGTTTAAATTACTACATAAATAATATCACACAGTACTATCAAAGTATCAAATAACTAATCGTGAACAATACAATAAACCCTTAGCAAAAACACATGTTAAGAAAAAAAATACATTTTGTATATGACAACAACACACATAAAAAAATAAAAAAAAATAAAAAATAAAAAAAATAAAAACAGAAAATCAAAACTGAAGGGGGCATGTGACCCCCTGGCCCTCTATCCCTAACCCTTATGAGTGACCTCTTCATTGTTTCTATGTCAAAAAAACAAAAACAAACAAAATAAAAACGAAAGTAAAGAAACACAAGGAAACATGACAGATTATATTAAGTTAAAAGAATGTTAAATTCAATAGTGATTCTCACCATTTGCAAAAGGACCTATCTCAGTCACACGGTATACAGTTGATGGTTAGCATTGAAGTTCTTCAAGGTTGCATTGCCCTCTATGATAGGAGTCTTTTATTAATTTGCATAATGTTTACTACTAGTTGACAACGACCGTGTTTGGCGTGCTTTCTAGGGCTGCTTATATTTTTTATTTTTAAAATCGAGTTTTGGTACATTTTTTACTTATAATTTATTACACAAAAATTGCTTAAAAATAAGCTGCAAAAAATGTGATTATTGAGAAACAATTAGACTGTTTGGTTAAACTTATTTCAAACAGTTTCTGATTCTAACAACTTATTTTAAGTCAAAAAACTGATTCTGAGAAGCTGCTCACCCCTTACTTCTGATTATCAGGTTCTGTTGTGGACATGTTAATTTACGATTATACTCTTAAATTTTTTATTTTTAATTTTTTTAAAAATAGAAAAAGACCCAAATGGACTATAAAATATTATTATTATTATTTATGAGAAATATAAACAAATAGTGAATAATAAAAAATAAGAATTAATTGAAAAAGCTACTTCACAGTTTATTTAACAAATATTACTCAGCAACTTAAATCTATAATCCAACAACTATACCATATAGATTAACAGTTTCTAATTAAAGTCATAGTCTATAATCTGTTAAGTTATAATCTATAATCTGTTTTAACAGGTACACCAAACAACACCAATACCTTTAACTTCTACTTTCTAATTTTCAACTTTCAACTTGTAAGAAGCAGTAACAAACAAGATTAGTAGTAGTAGAGAACTTGGCCAAGGTTTGGCCACACCACATGCGCATAGAGAAAATTGAAACATTAAATTTATAACTTGATGAAGTTTGATGACAAAACACAAATAGAAAAGAACTTGTGGACGCTTCATTCTTTTATTGATTAGCAGATATGAACATGAAGGTCTCCAAATCAATCCTGTGGACGCACATCACAATCATAATGCATATAATTGAGGGTTGGCATTTAAGGTTTTGAATGTTACATTGCCCTCAAAGCTAGGACTCTTTTCCTTCTTTCTTTTTTTTTCTGTTTTTCCTGTTTGCTTGTTTGTGTGCGTGTTTTTTTTTGTTTTTTTTTCTTACTTTATTTTGGGTTGGTATAGAAACTCAGAAGGCATTTATAACTTCAATAATGATATGTGCATTAAAAAAAAAAAAAAATCACAGAAATTCTTGTGCATAGAAAATTTAACACTTACAATAAATTTAGACCATGAATTAACTTTTTTTATGTGCGAAGCGTGCACGAAGTACTACCTTTTATAACTTCGTACTTGATAAGGATGAAGTTTAAGGCAAACACTACCCTAATCATTCTGTTGTGGCATTGGCGATCCTTTCTTTTTCCTTATACAATCTTAGTCAAGACCATTTATAGTTCGCTATCATTTTGGTCTTGTGTACTGAGTTTGACAAAAATATTACGGGGTCTTGTTAATATTAGGAAATGGGGAGGATTGCTGACACTTGAGAAGAAGTGGGGCAGGCTGGTAACGCTGGGGAAGGGTTGGCAGCGACAGGGGAGGGGGATGGGATGGCGGCTGATGATTGTGGGTGTGACTTGGGTGGTGACAGGCAGCTAAGGTGGTTTGGGGATTAGGGTATGGATAGAGAAGATAAGGGTATTTTGATAGTTTTATTTTAGAATAAAATTGTAATTAAAAAAATTTCAGCAAGTGCATGAACTGAGCAAAAAGGTGTGTAGAAATAGAGGCTCTTGTGAAGAAGCCATTATTGCTGTCTTGACATTCATTGCGTTTACACTCATTCGAAGTTTCGGACGAGTATATACCATGTAAATTAATGACCAAATTCGAGGGATCAACAGTTTCATTCACTTAATTCTGATCTTCTAAGTTTAGTGTATTTCTTGAGACTGCTAATAAATTTGGAAGAAAAAAAATGAACAGATCAGGATTGCTGAAGTCGTATAATGCTACATTTTCTTTTCCTGGCGTGTTGTCCAACTTTTCAATTTGAATTCAACTTCAACCCAAGTCAATTTAGCAATTTGATAGTAATATTCTTTTTTATTTTGTTTTTCTTCACACAAACAAAACACATTTTACAATTGGTTAGAAGAGTATAATAGAACTCATTTAAAGTGAATGATTCTAGTGTTTTTGTTCAGACACCTTACTAGCCAGACTTGGAAAGGTAGTGCTCATAAATTGCAGCTTTATAACGAAACATCACGAACTATGCAAAGTCACATCCCAAACCTCAAGAGGTTAGTGAAATTTACCCTTTTTTAAATATAAATAAATAAATCACAACAAAGTACCTGATCCATGGATTGCTTGCACAATTGCATACTGATGGGGAAATAGAGGTTGTGCACCATGCCCGGATGACAGATCTTCCTGGATAAAAGACTATGAATGGCATCATAAAATCTATTCGCCCTCCAAAAAGATGCAGCTTCAGAAACACATCAAGTGGGCTTCACAGAACTCATCTGCAAATGAACATAGCAAGATTATCCACACCATAAATTTCATACTACTATCATCCTTGAAGCTTGAAGAATTTGAGAATTATATATATATATATTTTTTGGTCGAAAGAAAACTATCCTTAAAATGCAAGGGAACATGCCTGCAAAGGACAAATGTATATAGAAGAAAAACCAAAAACAAGTTTTCATAACAAAAATAAGTTGAGAGTATTATATCCACTGATATTCAGCAAATTTTGAAACTGAAAATACAGATTAAGTATATATTTCAAATGACAAACATGTATGCACGTATAAATTGTATGTATATGTAAATCTGTAACATGTTAGGAATCAAGGTTCTCAGATATCTCCAATTATGACGATTAAGGGTAAATAGGAAATTTTAAGATTTTATAAGATTCTGGTTTTCTAAAATTATCTCCAAATCTTGAAATGCCAAATTCAAATAGCATTCCACGATGTTGGTAATATACAATAGTGTAGTGAAAATACACCAATAAAAGTCTGCAAGAATATTTAAAGAAATTGTTCAACTCTTATCAACTGAGCAAAGGTGTTCTCAGCCAAAAATAGTGCATCTTCTAGCAAGCAAGTCTTAGTTACAGGCAAGACTATCCAGGGAGTCTCCAAATTTCTCCATAAAGTTCAAAAATTTTACAGGCACAAAACAATCCTGCATCATAAACACCCAGAAGAACGAAATTAGCAATGAACAAATATAATGTCAAGGATTTAATAGGCATAGCAGGAATCTAAGCTTTTTCAAGCAGTCAATCCAAAGGGCAATATTATGAACAGGCACAAGCATGTTAACATTTGTAGAATAGTTCCAGTTCATTATACCCTGGTTGCTAGGGGTATGTTACAACAAAGCAATTAGGAATATATCATAATCAAATAAGATTTATAATTTATAAAAGATTCCTGATAATAGGAAGCTAAATAAAATTATTTTCAAGAAATCATCACACCAATTCTACTTTAATTGAATATCATGGTCTGAAGTTGTAACTCAATAGCGTATGATTCTCATGTAAAATTGTGAAGACGTTAATTTAAACAATTTACCTTATCTTTGTACTCTCTCCATTCTAGGTGATGGATCTCCACCTTCAAATAAAATGGAAAAAACAAAACGTGAATTAATTGCATCCACAAATATTCCAGTGATCCTGTGCACCTTCCGGTGTCGATACTGCCTTTCAGCTCTTGTTGTTCAGAACTTTTCAATGACCAATGCTCGGTGGTTAGCTGCTCATAAAAAGCTTTGGTAAATTTATTGGAACTGGCAAACTCAACCACAAGGACAGAGTATTCACTATCTGGTGTTCCTTCCCTTGTTTTACAACCCACCATCTTGAATAATAAACACTCAACTGTAGTCATTTAAGCACAAACACATTTCACTGTCTAAAGGTTTAATCTTTAATCTCTTTCAAGGTCACTCAGAACATCTTCCAAAAGAGAAGCATCCAAAGTGCATCAGCCCATTGGAATATCCTCACTGCATATCATATTCTACCTTCAAATGTCCATTCAGATTACGCAAAACGCCATAGATTTCCTTTCTTTTCCCATGCCTCACATCTTTAGCTAGAAACTCATGAACCATGTTCCCTATTTGGATTGAGCTACAACCTGGTATTTTTTCCATACCCTGATGTCTCATTGCCACCCGAAAGTTCAAAGCGTCATCCCATCGTCCAACAGATGAGATCAAGTTTGTAATCAGTGTTAAATAGCTAGGATTTGAAGGTTCTCGATCAAGAATCTTTTTTGTTACAGACTCCAACAAAATCTCATTTCCATGAATCTTACAAGCAGAAAGAAGAGTAGCCCAAATAACTGCATTAGGCTCCACATGCATGCTTTCTACGAATCTGACTGCTTCTTCTAGCCTCCCTGCTCGACCAAGCAGATCAACCATGCAGCCATAATGCTCAATTCGGGGTTTAATTCCAAACTCATAGACCATCTGATCAAAGACACTTTTACCCTCTTCCACCAGACCGCCATGAGTGCAAGCTGACAGAACAGCGATAAAGATAACATCATCAGGCTTTATTCCTTCCAAACACATCCTATCATAGAGTGCTAAGGCTTCTCTACACTGCCCATTAACAGCAAGTCCAGAAACCATTGTAGTCCACGTAATTATACACCTTTTAGTCATCTGATCAAAAACCGCTTTTGCATTTTTTATATCACCACATTTGGCAAACATGTCTATCAAAGCATTGCCTAACGGATTCGACAAGTCAAATTTGTTTTTCTTAATATAGGAATCAATCCACGTTCCATGTTCAAGTGACCCCAAATGAGTACAAGCAGATACTACACTAATTAAAGTAGTCTGATCAGGTTTACACTCACCATTGATTAACATATGACGAAACAAGGAAAGAGCTTGATCAAACATATGATTATGAACATAACATGCAATCATTGCATTCCACGAGACCACATTTTTAACTGGCATCTGATCAAAAGTTCTCCTTGCTAATTCAAGATCTCCAATCATGGTGTATCCTGATATCATTGCTGTCCAAGAAACCACACTTTTCAGGGGCATCTGATTAAAAATAGACTTTGCGGTCTTCACATCACCGACTCTTATGTATCCCGATATCATGGAGTTCCAGGAAATTTCATTTCTCTCAGGCATGCGCTCGAACACCGAACGAGCTAGTTCCATAATCCCGATCTTCGAAAGCCCTGCAACGACAGAATTCCAAGTCACAATGTTCCTTTCTGGCATGGATTCAAATAAGCCAATTGCGGATTCTATCTTCCCATTGGCCATGTAAGCTCCAATCATAGTGTTCCATGAAACAACATCTCTTTGGGGCAATTCCTCAAACACCTTACAAGCTAAATCCAAACTTCCACATTTAGCATAGAAATCCAGAAGTTTATTTTGAACGAAAACACTCGAATTAAATCCAAACTTCACAATATGACAATGCACTGAACTACCATCTTCTAAAGCCTCAACTGATTCAAAAGATCTTAGAAGAAAGGTGAAGGTGAAACTGTTGGGTGAAATCAATGACGTTCTCATTTGATTATAAGTACGCAACGAGTCTTTATGACTCTTCCCTATGAAGCATTTGATCATTGTGTTGTATGCAATAACATTAGGAGAACATGAATTTCGAAACACATTGATTGCAAAATCAAGTGAAATGAGGTCGGAGGAGAGACTGACGAGTTTTGGTACAATAAAGCTGCGATCTTGGAGACCATTTATGAGGATTTGGAGATGGGTTTGCTTCAATTCTTTTACATTTTTACATGTCTGCAACAACTGGAGCAATTTTTGCTCCATTGCTGTAAGGTCGCAAAACTGTAGAAGATGGTCAGTATAGCTCGAGGAAGAAAGAAGTGCATTTCTGTTATTTATTGGATAATTGTACTTATATTTGGGAAACTACAAGTACGTACGTGCTAGTTGGAGAAAAAATTTACAAACATACGAAGGTGTAAGTATATCTGTGGTGGGGTGTGGTGGGATCCAAATGAAAGGTTCTGGGGATACAATTATTATTTACACTCCACGAGCGAGGGTGGTTTCTCACAGTCATGAGTCAAGTTCGAATTGTGGGGGGCGTGAAAGTCCTAGATTTTTTAGGGGCTTTCTTCGATGACCTCGCGCTGTATTTCGATCGAAACTTGTCCATGGTTGGAGCGGTTGATGAGCTCTACTGGTGCCTCGGTGGTAGGTCAAGGTCCCTTCTTATGAGTTGGGTTAAATCAGACTGGCAACTAACTGCCCTAGGGCCTGGGCTTACGGATGTTGTGATGACATCTCAGAACATTCTTTTTTCTAGTTAAAAAAAAAAAAAAAACTATTATTTACACTCCTCTATGTGTTGTAATTTGTTCCTCCAATTCCTACCTGCATGTAGTTTTCCCATTCTATTTACATACCACAAAACTCAGAGGAAATTCCACATAACATATGCATCTTTAAGAGTATATCCAATGTTTAACTTTTTTTTCTTATCAAATTTGAGTAAAAGTTTTATCTGATATTATTCTTTTCAACAAAGCAATTTGAGATTTCATCAAATCACTAGTCGACTGGGAGGATGATCGAGGGATGTTCGGCTGGTCGACTGGCCAATGTAATTTTTTTCAAATTTTGAAACAGATTTTTACAAGGAGGTGGTCGACTGGGGGTACAATCGGCCGGATATCTGGGCAATTGTTTGATGATGGTGTATGCTCTGCAATCTGAGATTTCATCCGACTGGTCGACCGACCAGTGTAATTTTTCTGGATTCTAAAATAGATTTTTGTAAGGAGGTGGTCGACTGATGGGACAACCGGCCGGACATCCGACTAGTTGTCCAATGATGGTGTATGCTCTGCATCTCAAACGGTTTTGTACAGTAAATTGATGAAAGGCTCTTTCATCTCCAATTTGATGAAAAGTTTAAGATATCCTTGATTTGATGTAAATGTTGGAATAACAAAAGTATACTCTTTTCACCAAAAAGAAAAGGTGAAACGTTGGAGGCGCTCTAATTATGTCATTTTCTTCTTTAGTTATAATTAATTTTCTTCTTTACAATATTTTAGTTAAGACTTACGAATTCTTTGGTTATGCCTCATATGATGGTGTTTGGTTATAATTTTTTTTAAGTTATGACTTAGAAAGTATGAAATTATACTATTTTTTCTTTAGTTATAAGATGGATATGGTATACACCTCTCAAAGGGTGTGTACTATAGTCTTTCCCAAAACTCATAACATAAACTTCCCAATAAAAATTTTAAATAAAAATTAAATGGTGAGATATGAATTTATAAATAACAAATAATTATTCGGACATAAACAGTTCCATGAAATATATATTTGAATAATTTTACTTTTGTTCATCAATTTATGTCCGAACATTGCTTTTTGTTCAAAAATTTATCCGAACAAAACAAATGGCGTGTATTGCGAAAATAGAATTTCCCATTCATTAAAGATTTAAAAAATATTAAGATAAATTACAAATACATCTCCTGATATTTATTTAAAATACGAATTGTCTTCTATAGTTATGGAAATTATATCCTTGTCGCTTCAAGTTTCTAATCGCATAACAAATTATTTTTTTTATTAATAATCGTCAAATTAATTAATAGTTTTTAATAATGTCAAAAATATATTCCAATTAACAATTCATGTAATTATATTATTGTATGAAAGAGCAGTTATGATTTTTTTTTTTTTTTGGTTAATTCTGTTAAATGCAAAATTCTAACACGAGAGTATTTGTAATTTATAAAATTACAAGGAGTAATTTGTATTTTATAAAACTATAAAAGATAATTCATATTTTAAATAAAATTTATCGGGTGTATTTATAATTTACAGAAAATATTACTATGCTTCTAATTACCAATGGAAAATCTCAGTCCAGATTATTTTTGTTGTTTGTATAAATTTCTAAACAAAAATTATAAATAGTTGTTATACAAATCTTCAAACAAAAAATAGTTGTTTAAATATAAATTATTCAACAAAGTATATATTCAAATAATTCATTTTAATTCTGAATTTTATATTCAGATATTTGATTTTTGTTCAAATATTTGAACTACACATATGCTATGTGCAAATAGAATTACCCCAATGCATGGTGATATATAGAATGAGCCACATATTGTGGTCCAAAGGTCAATTGTATGCTATAATGGCTCTCTATATTCAAACTGTCATAAAACTCCCTCCATATTATAGTTTGGAACAGACCCAAATGAGATAGAGATGAGAACAACCAGGTTGTACAGAAATTCACAAGAATTTACATATCTCATCCAACAACAAACTCAAAACAAACATCAATATCCAAAACTCATCAAACAAAGCTCTAATTTTTGCCCCACAAAAAGCTTACCAAGTTCATCAAATTGGTCTTATCATATAAGAAATTGCATCTCTCATGGGGCACACAGTGAAGCCCTTTCAATCTATACCCATATTCGCCGTACCGGAATTTATCTTCTGGGTGTAGTTCCGTTGCTTTTCAAAGCCTGTGCTTCGATTTCCATGCTTAACCATGGGAAGGCTTTGCAAGCTGAATCAATCAAGATGGGGGTTGACTCTGATGTAATGGTGGGAACTTCTTTGGTTGATATGTATGGTAAATGTGGTTTGCTTTTTGATGCTCAGAATGTGTTTGATTATATGCCTGAGAGAAATGTTGTGACATGGAATGCTATGATAGGAGGGTATATGAGGAATGGTGATTTGGGTGCCGCGTCATTTTTGTTTGAGAAGATGTCGACACGATCTGCAATAACATGGATTGAAATGATTGATGGGTTTGCTAGTAATGGGGTGACTCTGACTGCAAGGCAATTGTTTGATCAGGTTCCATTGGAGTTGAGAAATGTGGTGACTTGGACTGTGATGGTTGATGGGTATGCCAGCAATGGAGAAATGGAGGCTGCAAAGGAAATTTTTGAGGCGATGCCAATACGGAATTACTTTGTTTGGTCCTCTATGATTTCTGGGTATTGCAAGAAAGGTGATGTTCAGGCAGCTAAGGCCATTTTCGATAGAATTCCCAAGCGGAATTTGGTGAATTGGAATTCATTGATTTCTGGGCTTGCTCAAAATGGTTTTTGTGAGGAAGCTCTGGATTTTTTCACAAAGATGCAAACTGAGGGGTTTGAGCCAGACGAAATTACAGTGGTGAGTGTTTTATCTGCCTGTGCACAGCTTGGGTTGCCTGATTCCGGGAAAGAAATCCACCAAATGATCATTCACAAGGGAATTAAACTTAACCAGTTCATTCTAAATGGGTTGGTTGACATGTATGCGAAATGTGGCGATTTAACTAATGCAAGATTAATTTTTGAAAGGATGTCCAAGAGGAATGATGCATGTTGGAATGCAATGATCTCAGGTTTCGCTATTCATGGACAATGCAAGGAAGCTCTTGAGTTCTTCGGCAGAATGGAGGCCTCGAGTGAGAAGCCCAATGTCATAACGTTTCTATCAGTTCTATCGGCTTGTGGACATGGGGGATTTGTGGAGGAAGGTTTAGAAATTTTCTTGAAAATGGAGAAATATGGCTTAATTGCCACCATTCAACATTACGGATGCCTAATTGATCTTCTGGGAAGGGCAGGGCGAGTAAAAGAGGCTTATGATTTGATAAAGACAATGCCAATGAAACCAAACGACACAATTTGGGGAGCTCTACTTGGAGCATGCCGAATTCACTCAGACTTGGATATGGCAGATCGGGTACTGAAGGAGGTTGGCAGAGATTCTGAACCCTGCTTCAGCAATGATTCACATTACGTGATACTGTCAAATATTTATGCAGCTTCGGATAGCTGGGAGAGAGCTGAAACAATGAGGACTGTCATGTTAGATAAAGGATTTCAAAAGACACCCGCTCGTAGTTCATTTGTGGTCAACAAGAAGGAGATGAGCTTTTGTGCAACTACTTGATGACAAGCCTGCCTGCTGTTGGAATGTAATTGCTTCTCGTAAAATCTGGCAAAAGGACTTGTGCAGTCTAGAAGTGCGTAAATTATTTTTGATCACATAAGAAAAAGAGATTGCTCTAGCATTCACATCATTTACCAATTCAATGAAATCAGGGCGTTTATCCCATCTGAACCATAATGTCCTGTATGGTAGTGTTTGAAATTGCTTCAACAATTCTCAAATGAAGCAATTGCAAAAGGGTTTGTACTCAAAAAGGTTGGTCATGAACGAAACTGGAATGATGGCTTTCTGTGTATTATTATAGTTTTCAGGAAATTTTAATCAAAATCTCAAATTTTAAAATGAAGCCAAATATGTATTCATACAACTGCCGCTTCTTCTTCTTCTTCTTCTTCTTCCTTTTTTTTTTTTTTTTTAATGCATATTCTACTGTAGGTATTATACAATCTCAATTCGGAGACCCATCTCCCAATCAAACAATGCGGAAAGAGTCTGCTATCTTTTTCAAATCCTTGTAGTGCCTCTTCCATTGAAGACCTTCAGAAATCAAAATGTAGTTTAAATCAGTCTTCATTCTTGTTCAATGATATGAAACTTACGAGAGCAGGAAAAGAAAATCCATACCACTTCCAGTCACATTGAACAAGTAGAGGCGATTTCCTGCAGCAGTTGCTGTGATCAGAGCATGAGGGGGTTCCAATTCGAACTGGTAATATTTTCTTCCAGAATGTTCTGCAACTTCCATACTTAGTACCTTCCCTTCGACATTCTCTCCTATGACTTCTGGTCCAAATGCACTGATCACTTTCTCTGGAGGTCCAATTCGTTCAATTGTAACATTATCCCCTAGATCTACCATCATACCGAACTGCGTTAATAATGTGTTTATAATGTTCTAATGATAGAAGTGTAGACGAATTGTAGGAAACTCAACTATCTGCAAATCTGAGAACAGGAGCGACGATAACAAATAGACGTCCTTCCTTAGAACTAGCAAATCTCAAATCAATCTCTGTACCACCTAGATCTGCAATTGAGACTGGAACCTGTAAACACAGGGCAAGAATTTAGTATAGAAGACCTAATATCAAAGTATACATATTGAATTGATTAAATAGAACCCGTTTAAACAACTACTTTTTCCCCCTTCCTTTTTGTGGGTAATTTAATGATTTTAACAAGTTGAACATAAATTTCGCATATTCAATGAAGGTCTAGTTGAACAGAGTAGATTAGTACCTCTGCCCAATCTTGAGGCACTGAGAAGGCATAAGGGATGATAGGACTCCATCCAACACCATGTCCTCCAGACTTCTCATCTGGTCTGCGATATGTCCTCCAACCTGTCTGAGCAATTTCTTTTCTAATAAAGATGACTGGCTACTTAAAATTCTTCAATGAAATAAAATAAAATAAAATAAATTAAAAAAAAAAGAAGAAGAAGGCAGAACAAAAATTACTCAATCTCTTAGGCCTTATATACGTCGTCGGAGAGGGAGGGTGGTTAGGGATGAAAGTGGAGGCAGAAAACTATGTTAAATATGAGTTTTGTTCTTGACATGCTTATACATAATGCATAGGAGTGCGTATAACATGCGATGTACAATCAATATAAACATTATTAACCAATGCCCTTAGGGTACTCGTTAACCAAACCCTTCAAATATATGGGGAGGGGAACTGATGAATTGTAAATATAATATGAAGGTGTGTTTGGTAACGTTTACGTTTTCAGTTTATATTTACAAAAATTTTATAAATTGATTTTTGTTTATTTTTGGAAAAATATAAACTATAAACACATTTGGTAATTGACAAAATGTTTGAAAAATTTTAAAAATATAAAAAAAAGTGAGAAATGACAAGTGGTGGCAAGTGACGGCGGAAGATGGTGGTAGAAAGTGGTGACGGTAGGTGGTGGGTAGCTGGTGGTGGTAGGTGGTGGTTGGTGGCGGGTGGGTGAGTGGGTGACGGTGACGAGTGGTGGGTGGTAGCGAGTGGGTGGTGGTGGTGGTGGTGATGGTGGCAGGTGGGTGGCGGATGACGGGTGGTGGTGGGTAGGTGGTGGTAGTGGGTGGGGGGGGGACGGGGGTAGTGGGGCGGGTGTGGTGGGTGGTGATGGTGGGTGGGTAGGTGATAGTGGCGGGTGTGGGTGGTAGTGAGTGGTGGCGGATAGCGGGTGGGTAGTGGGTGGGTGTGGTGGGTGGTGGTGGTGGGTGGTGGTGGTGGGGTGGCGAGTGGTGGTTGGTGGTGGCAAGTGGCGGGGTGGTGGTGGTGGTGGCAGGTAGGTGGTGGTGGTGGGTGGGTGGGTGACGGTGGCAGGTGGTAGGTGGTAGCGAGTGGGTGGTGGTGGTGGTGGTAACAGGTGGGTGGGGGTGGGTGTTGGTGGTAGTGTAGTAGTGGTGGTGATGGTGGGTGGTGGTGGCGGTGGGTGGCAGGTGGCGGTAGTTGGGGGTGGCTGGTGGTGACAGGTGGTTGGTGGTGGTGGCAAGTAGGTGGGGGCAGGTGGCTGGTGAGTGGTGGTGGCAAGTAGGGCGGGCTATGTTACATGGACTCGGATACGGGTTGTCGGGTCGGGTACGGGTATGTATCTAGAAGGTCGGACTCATTAAATCATAAAATTTAAAGGGCGTATGCGGACTTCGGCAAAAAAAATATTCCATATTATTTTATAATTTTAAATCTAATATGATATGAAGAGTAAAATGGGACTATATGTAACTTTACAGTGATCAAATAACATTTATTTATAACAATTATACAACATATGTACATAAATAATATGTTAAAATACAATTATATAAGAAGTATTGTTGAAGAAGTATCTGACACATATCCCATACCTTGTTCGAGTGTCCGGGTGTCCGACACGGGTATTTGATTTATTTTGGAAGAGTCCGTGTAACATAGTATTGGCGGGGTGGATGGTGGAGAGCGGTGGTGGTAGTGGCGGGTGGTAGGTGTGGCGGTGGATGGCAGCTGGGTGGTGTGTGTGTAGTTTCGGCTGACGTGGAGTGGGTGGATGGGTGGTGGCGATGGGATGGTAGGTGGGTTGTGGGCTGGCGCGTGGTGGTGGCCGTGTGGGTGGTAGAGTGGTGGTTGACAGGTGGTGGGGGGTGGGTGGTGGTCGGGCAGAAGACCTGGTGGTCAAATGTTGTGGGTGGTGGCCTAGTTATTGGGTTGGTAAAAAAAAACCATGAAAATTCACAAACGGAAAACCACATTTTTTGTTGTTTCATTTTTTTGAATTTTGGCCAAATTTATAAATTGAGACCACTGATTTATAAATCAAAAATTTTACCAAACAAGTTTTTATTTGAATTTTTAAAATTTTTGTAAATATAAACAGAAAATTGAAAACGTAAGTGTTACCAAACGGCACAATTGACTCGATGTTATCTCAAACTCTTGATGGAAAAACATCTAGGAGAGAATGTTTTGCCATGTTATTAATCTTGAAATGAATGAAAATGAAAACTGTTCAAGTTGAGAAATAGCCAGCTGAAAGTGAGACACTACAAAGAACAAAGAAATGGCCCTGTTTGGTAGAGCTGTGGAAAGTGTTTATAGTTTTTGCCTAAATAGCTTATAGCTTATAATTATGAACATAAGTTGATTTCTGACTTATAAATTAAGCTTCTCCTGCCCCACTCAAAGAATAAGCTGATTTCTGACTTTCAAAAAGTTATAAGCTATAAGTTATAAGTTAAACCAAACACATCAAAATAATTTAAATTAAGTTGAAAGCTGAAATAAGCAACTTTTAAGCTGCACCAAACAGGCACATAGAATCCCCAGACGAACTTGTTAAAGATTCTTCCAGCTTTTTCAATAAAAATAAATTTAAATTAAAATGGCGGACGGATGGCGGATTGGAGGTTCCGTGGCCGCAACCGACCCGCGCCCACCCCTACAAAATATGCAAGAGTACTCTTTGCTTCTATAAATTAGGGATTTTAATATTTATTTTTTTTGTGAGTATCATATGCAAGACCATGAAAACCAACCTTGTTCGTCCGGTTCAGAGAGACCAGGTATCCTTCCCGCCAAAAGGCCTTGTTTGACAACTGCCAATCCCTGGCTCGGAAAACCCAAAACAGCAGAAGAAATTAAACCAGCCCCAGACACCAGGGCTTGCCTTCTCTTCAAAAACCCAGAAAAATCCCCACCTTCTTCATCAACACACCGGTTTTCTCTCACCACAAAAGCCTTTGTTCTGGAACATCTTCCAGACAGAGAGTTATGAGCCACCATGACCATATGGTGATGACAAGGACTCATCTGCTGAAGATTTGCCCATGGGCAACAGCTTGTGATTGAGGTTGTTCCCATCTTCTCTTCAGAGAAGAACAGTAAGTTCACTGAAATTTTGTAAGAAGTTTTTAGGGGTCTCTCAATGATAGGACTCAGATGAAAGGTGAAACAACAGTTTGTTTTTTGGTACTAGAATGGTTTAGAAGCTGTGAGGTCCCCAGTATGTGTGCTGTGTATGTTTTTGGTGGATGTGGTGTCACTTGTAGCCTAGCATAACCATCTTTTCACCCACTTAGCTATCAGATTCCTGGCCTGATTTGTGCCACGTTTCTAGGTTGCCTTTTAAATAAATAAATAAGAAAATAATAATAATAATTATTATTATACATCTCAATACAATGAATCATCAATTGTAATATAAATCACCACTACACAAACTCCAAAAGTGAGTGAGAAAATCCCAACTAAAAACCAGAGAAACAAGATCTACATTGGGGTGTTTTGGAAGTTTGTGGGTTGGTTTTTTTTGATTTTTTACATTAAAAGACAATTTTTTTGTAAAATAAAAAAAAAAAAAAAAATTTAAACAAAATATCACATTCAACTCCATAATCATTTTATTTTTTTTCTCACAAATATCACATCTAATTACAAAAAAACTTAATTATCTTCTCAAATACCAAAATTGTTTTATCTAATAATATCCTATAACTAAAAAAACTTATATAAAAATCCACTTCTCAAACACCAAGTAGATAGGATGGGAAAGTCTCCTTTGACCTGCAACTGTGCAAGAGTTCTAACCGACGGACTAACTAGAGTTGTTTCTATTTTTAGTGGAGAGGATTTTATAGAAGATAACAAACAACCACCAATCATGAATTGCAATGTTAGCATTAACAACAAAATTACAATTACCAATACTATATATCTGTGTGGTTTGCCTTTGCACTCAAAGGTAAAAATTTTAAATTATTTTTTTAAATCTATAATTAAACTTACAATTTAAAATTACTCATAATTCAATTTAAAAATTAATTTTAAAACTTATAACTAAATACACAATTCAAAACCTAATTCAAATTTTTTTTAAAATTCTATTTTAAAAGGAAAAATTCAAAAAAAATACTTTTTATTTTGTTTTTGAAAATTATTTTTAGAATCATAATTTAAGTGTCGAGTCGTATTTTGAGTTATGAGTTTTGAAAAGAGAAAATTTGTTTAATTATAAGTTTTGAAAAGAATTTTGAGTTGTATTTTAAATTTTTTTGGATTTATTTTTTTAAAATATTTCTTAATTTTATTTTTTTAAGGTAAATATATTATATTTTAAATATTTATTTATTGATTTATTTTAATGTACACTATATTTCATACATTTATGTGCTGTATTTTTTTAATATTAAAAAATTATTATTTTTTAAATATATAATTATTATTTTAAATATTTTTTTATTTTTTTTGTTATGTGTTGGTTATGATTTGAGTATAAAATTTTGAAAGTAGTATGAAATTTCAAGTTATGTGTTTAGTTATAAGTTTTGAAATATTTTTGAATTGAATTTTGAATTATGTGTTTAGTTACGATTTAAATGTAAAATTGTATTTTGAGTTTAAAATATTTACAAAATAAAATAAAATGTTTAAAATAAAAAAATTAAAAATATTTAAATAAAAATTATATATTTAAAATAAAAAATAAAATTTTCTTAAACATTTTTTAATATTTTAAAAAAATAAATCCAAAAAATTCAAAATATAACTTAAAATTCAAAAACTCAAAACTCAAAATACAATTCAAAACTCTTAACAAAACAAATTTTCTTTTTTCAAAATTCAAAAACTCTTTTCAAAACTCATAACCAGACAAATTTTTTATTTTAAAAACTTAACTCACAATTTTACACTCAAATCATAACTCCAAAAAGAGAATCACAACTTCAAAACTAAACAAAACACAACCAATATTTTTCTTTCCTTTGTCACACCCTCTGTCGAGGGGGTACATACAATACATTCTTGAAAAATATTTGGGAACACTAAAAAAAGATCACTAGAGGGAGCACTGATGATGTGGCAGTGAGTCCTGCTCACTTTCTATGCCTTGTTTTTATTATTGTTTTTGCCATTCCCAACATATTAGTGCTATTAGTGATACATTTTTTAGTGGTCTAAATCATTGTTGTACATTCTTTTGATGTCTATACATGACACTAATTAGAAAAAAGGGTATGGCTTCTGTCCAGTTCGGGATCGGACTAGACCGTGCTGTTGGGCCCGTGGGGACCCACCACAGGTCCCGCTTTGATAATCTGAAAGAACTCGTCGAGCACTATATGCTTGTAAAAAATCACGTTGATCGGATATCGATAGCTATGTGATCAAAACAATTTTTTGTCAACCGTTAATTTGTTCACCATCCAATTTTTTTAATACGAAACTCATTTGATCATATAGCTATCGATATCTGATCAACGTGATCTTTTACAAACATATAGTACTCGACGAACGGTTCAAATTATCAAAACGGGACCCGTGATGGACCCCCACAGGCCCAATAACACGGTCCAGTCCGATCCCAGACTGGACAGAAGCCATACCCTTAGAAAAATGGGGTAGAAAAAAAATTATAAATAAATAAATCAAATTCAAGAGCAATGCATTGTGTGCGAACTCAAGGCAAAGGCATGGGAGGCTTCCAGTTACTAAATTCTTGCAAGTTTCTATTTACTATAGAGCCATTGTGCAGCCAGAATGTTTCTGCTGACTGATGGAATTGCCTCACTTTCCTCTGAAGTTCCCACAGGATTCCGTTAAATGCCGAGCAGGGCTCTGATTCAGGAGCATAAACCCATAAGCATCTAACTTGTCTGCCATGGGCAATCATCTTCTCTATGTCCTCATCTGAAGTTAAAAAACCAAAAAAAAAAAAAAAACAGAAGTTAAGCCATGACGCTGAAGGCTTAAAAAAACCTAGTATGATGAAAATTAGTGCTAGAATTTCACCTGGTATTGATTCTAGGTACTCCAGAAGTTCAGGACCAATACGATTCCATGGCCATTTGATTGATATCTGGGTGTAGTCAATAACATTCTGAAAAGGCAACTCCACATAATCTGATATGATCACTGGGACACACTCCTGTTCAGCAAAAAGAGTTGCATCATTTTGATTATCCAATCCTATCAGGCGATTGGTGTGTGTGTAGAGAGAGAGAGAGAGAGACCACAAAGAAAGACTCATAAAAGCGAAGAGTCCACGATGACTCGCCACGTGGAGCCAGGCAGAACTTGGCATTGCGGAGGTGCTCAAAATATTCTCTCCTTCCCAATTTATCAGGGCCACTGAACTTCAACTCTGGAGATTCCAACTGTTTATAAAATCAATATGCACATTTTTTGGAGGAAAAATAATTCGAATATGCAATCCAAAGAAAAAGTAAAGTAAACAAGAGAGATATTGTTCATTGAGACAGTGAAATGCATGCGTGTCACACGTGCACGTTCAACAGCAAAGTGCAGAAACAAAAATTTCATATGGATACTACGGCAGGCAACATATATCATTTAGATTTAGGATCATTAAACCCAAAACTTTATGCCAATTTTTTTTTTTTTTTTTTTTTTGGCAAATGAGCTAAATTCCACCTTAGACAATGGAGCTACAATGGAAGACATACCTTATTTGGGTATTGCTTACCAAGCTCCACCAATTGAAGACGACCAACCTTTCCTTGTGCTCGACCTAAGAAGTTTGCCAAATACTTCCTCTTAGATAAAGGTAAAGGCTGGACCAGCCCAGCCCCACGACTAGTCATCCCATCATCAACATTCCCAGGAATGATGATATCTTTCCATGTATTAAAGGCACTAGTGTCTCGCTTATCTGTGCGGTCCCCCTGCAATAAAACAAATCAACATCCTATGCTAGGTATTCGCTAATATGAACCAGGTATCAATCAGTATAAATCAACATGCATTGAACCACCAAGGCCCGACAAAACAAATATAACCAACCACAGACAGCTCAATCTCTCATGAATGCAAAAACCAAAATCATGCTGAATCAAATCTAGACCCAACAATCAAAATGTCGTTGCATTAGCTGAATGCTATTAGAATGTCAAGAACTCCAAAATAAGAGATTTCTAGATGGTTCTTTCGACTCCAAGGTGAATAATTCATTATTGTCAGTCCAAGAAGTATTCAGGGGGTCACCAGTTAGGTTTATGTAGATCATCATCAATATGAAAAGTACTTACAGTTTTGTCAACCAAAAATAAATAAAAAAGAAAGAAAGAAAAAGAGGTGGTTGGAAATTTGGATAAACTTCTGTTTTCACTAGTTTTTGAAGTTGTGGAAGAAGATTGTCAGAGAAACGAAACAAAGTCCTGCCATCAGAAAATCTTATATTTCAAGACACCCCTTTAAAAAATTATGATCAAACGTAAGCAGATGGAAACCATTGAAGCAAATACCACAACTATAAAGGTCTATACTAAGCTGGCAGTCATCAGCAGCGAAGTTCAGCATTTGGTATCAGTTCACACGTTTTCAAAAACAAATCAGTGCCACATAGAAGAGTTACTGAGGTACCTCAGGAGTAAGAAATATGGAACGGTTCAAGTATGTAGCCCAGGATCTAAAGAAGGTCGCTCCAGCACCACTGCAATTGAGTGAAAGCCGCATGTATGTGACATTAACTACTTATTAAGAGAAAAAAAAGTATGTGACACATAAAATGAATTAAGTAGTAAAAGAAAGTAGCAGCCACGAAACAACAACATACCACCACCACTACCACCATGACATACCACCACCACCACTACCACCATACGACTACCACTGTTATCACCACCACTTGCGTTGCCATGTCAAACAACTTGAACAGCTCTGGTTAAGCATCTAACAAGAACAGATGGGAAGAAACACTATCTTAAGTCCATTGTAAACTGTATCCAAATATATTTCCAATTAAGCATTCCAAAATTATCTTCCTCAATCTATTTCAGTTTACCATGACAAATCATGATAGAATAGGATACCATATTATAATAAACCACTATACCTCAGGAAAACAAAGATGTGATTGCGGCCACCAGATAGCCTGAAATACGGCATTTGACTCAGAACCTGGGAGAAAAATATGACAATAGTATATGGTTAACCAGAAAGTGAACCAAAAATGTAAATGAATATGAGATAGAAAGCATAAAAATATATTCTAATAAATTATGTCACATATTAAAGTCAGAAAATCAACAGAGTAAAAGTGTGGACATTAGAGTGTTAATCAACTTGTGTAGTAGAGCAGGAGCTGAGAATGTCTACAAGCAATCAAGCAAACTTCCAAGTTCCAGTCACTCTAAATTGATGAAGTTGAAACACCAAAATGCAATATCACCTTCACAAAAGTCTGGTTAATCTCTTCATTATTCAGACCACCCATCATATGGACACATTTAACGTAAGTTGGCAGGAAGAAGAGATCTGCTTCCTCTTTCTTTGTTGTCCGAAATCTTGACTGTAAAAGCATCCTGTGTATTTTAACCTACAATTCATATTACAAACACAATGATAAAGCTATATTAGCTACTGAGGTCACACAAAACCAACAAAAATATTAACTGTTTGTCTCCTGGGAAAAGGAAGTAATAAAAAAAATATATATGGGTTTTAAGTAGCACCTCAGAACAAAATCTCTAAGATAATTGAAAGAAAGAATAAACGTAGAATTTCACAGGTATTACACAAAAAATTAGTAAAGGAATTGCATTTGCATTCACACTAATAACCAAAAATGGATTTAAACAAACCTAAAAGCAATTTTTATGATGTTCTTAGCCTGACATGCACATACCTAAGTTTTAAGGGGTTGTTAGGGAAAAAGAAGAGAAAAATTGGTGACAATCACACCAACTCTCCATTTGTTTGGAAGTAAAACATTTTTGTAAAAGAAATTTTCATATTTACAGTGTATAGACAAACATCAGTCCACAAATGACTTTCATTTTTAAGAGAAAAATAAATAATAATTTTCATTTTTTTTTGGCTTATGGATGAACAAAAAATTAAGAAATTATTTTCCCATAATGTTTTATGTTGAATATTCCGAATATAACCAATTGATCCAAATTCAGTAAGCTATTTTCCATGCGGATGGCACAATACTTGAGTCCCAATCCAACATCCTGGCCACAAGAAAACACAAATAGCACATTTGGTACGATGGAATGGGCTAGAATTGAATGTCTATTCTAACTCTGCATTCCCTTTCCCTTGTTTGGTACATCTTATCTAAGTGGCAATAGTCATTCCATTGGAATGGCTATTTCAACAAAATGTGAGAATGCCTATTCCTTCCTCCAACCTAAGGAATGATCATTTCATTCCATCATGAAATCACCATAAATTTTTATTATTTTTTTATACTTAAAAAAAATAAAATATTATTATTTAGTTATCACCACCATTCTCTTTCGCTACCACCCATTCCACAATCCTACACCGCCACCACCACCCCTATTGCCACCACAACCACCACCACCACTGCCGCCGTCGCCACCACAACCACAACCACTACCACTACCTCCACACAACCATACTACCACCACCATACTACCGATGTCGGCACTACCACCACTATTATAGCCACAACCATTATCACCACATCCACAACCATAAAACCACTACCATTACCATTGTTAGAACCACTACCCTACTACCACTGCTCCCACTACCACCATTGCTTCCACTGCCACAAGCACTACCTTACCACCACTACTATCACCTTCATAAATATCACACCACTACGGTCACCATCACAAGAACCACCACTCTACTACAGTTGCTCGTTATTGTTGCCGCCACCACCACTACTACCACAACAACCACCATCGCAACCACAATCAGCCTACCGCCACCTTACCACCACCACCACTAATTCCACAACAACATACCACCACCACTACCACCATGACATACCACCACCACCACTACCACCATACTACTACCACTGTTATCACCACCACTTGCGTTGCCACCGCCACCGACGCTGCCACTGCCACAACACACACCATCACTTTCACAACTATCAACACTATCATGATTTATATAATTTTCTAATTTATTTGTTACTAGCTTGTCAAAAAAAAATCATGATTTATATAATTTTCTAATTTATTTGTTACTAGCTTGTCAAAAAAAAAATAATAATAATTAAAACTTATTCCATTCTATTAGTTTAATAAGCATAACCAAACACGAAAATGAGAATTATCATCCTATTCCTATATTATTCTATGTTGGCAACAAAACAATAGAATGGGAATGGACATTCCATTTCATTCAATCTTATATTTCATTCTCACTCTCATTATATTCCCAATTCATTTCACTCCATTGTACCAAACATATTCAAAGAGAGAATCATATGACAATGTTGACTGGAATTCTCAATCATCTCTCCTCTGTAGCCAGTGACCATATCACAACCAAAGTTGTTAAAATATAGATCCTACATAGGATCAAATTGAAGATTTTGTGTATCAGATTGATGATTGTAAGATTCTATTTTCTATTAAAAATAACGTAAAAATATAAATCAAGATGATACATATTAAAAATCAAGTGAAAATCATAAATCCAACGATCTTACATATGATCCTACACGATCCTGTGTAATTCTACTTGCGATCCTTCTATATTATCGATCCTATAAGGATTTAAATCGTTTTGACAATTCAGGATCATAGTACAATCCTACGATCCAGATCGCAATTTTAATAACCACGATCATGACAACATGACTAGTTCGTAATTTTGATGGAGTTTTCTAACTTCCATATCAAAAAGTACTCGTTTCAGCTTTGGTTCCACTACCCTAAAACAACTACCATTACCATTGTTAGAACCACTACCCTACTACGACTGCTCCCACTACCACCATTGCTTCCACTGCCACAAGCACTACCTTACCACCACTACTATCACCTTCATAAATATCACACCACTACGGTCACCATCGCAAGAACCACCACTCTACTACAATTGCTCGTTATTGTTGCCGCCACCACCACTACTACCACAACAACCACCATCGCAACCACAATCAGCCTACCGCCACCTTACCACCACCACTACTAATTCCACAACAACATACCACCACCACTACCACCATGACATACCACCATCACCACTACCACCATACTACTACCACTGTTATCACCACCACTGGCGTTGCCACCGCCACCGACGCTGCCACTGCCACAATACACACCATCACTTTCACAACTATCAACACTATCATGATTTATATAATTTTCTAATTTATTTGTTACTAGCTTGTCAAAAAAAAAAAATAATGATTAAAACTTATTCCATTCTATTAGTTTAATAAGCATAACCAAACATGAAAATGAGAATTATCATCCTATTCCTATATTATTCTATGTTGGCAACAAAACAATAGAATGGGAATGGACATTCCATTCCATTCAATCTTATATTTCATTCTCACTCTCATTATATTCCCAATTCATTTCATTCCATTGTACCAAACATATTCAAAGAGAGAATCATGTGACAATGTTGACTGGAATTCTCAATCATCTCTCCTCTGTAGCCAATGACCATATCACAACCAAAGTTGTTAAAATATAGATCCTACATAGGATCAAATTGAAGATTTTGTGTATCGGATTGAGGATTGTAAGATTCTATTTTCTATTAAAAATAACATAAAAATATAAATCAAGATGATACATATTAAAAATCAAGTGAAAATCATAAATCCAGCGATCTTACATATGATCCTACACAATCCTGTGTAATTCTACTTGCGATCCTTCTATATTATCGATCCTACAAGGATTTAAATCGTTTTGACAATTCGTAATTTTGATGGAGTTCTCTAACTTCCATATCAAAAAGTACTCGTTTCAGTCATGTTGTCATGATCGTGGTTATTAAAATTGCGATCTGGATCGTAATTTTGACGGAATTCAGGGGTTTTTTGAGTGAACTAAATAGGTTTTCTGACTTTGTTTTTCGGTTTTCATCAGTTATTGACAATTGTTTACAATGATTTGGAAAATTTATATCCGTGGTACAAGCCACTGGTTTCAAATGGAAGCCAAAAGTCAGCCTTCATCCTTCGAGTCATTACTGTTGTTAGAAGCTTTGTAACTGTAAGCCAGTCTTTCCATGTATTGTATGCTAGGTGTTTGATGTTATGTACTAACCAAAGTTTCTCAATATAATGATCAATTTTCTTCATATTTCATTTTATTACCAATGAGATTGAAGAAATTCAATAATATCACACCAAATTCCCACCAACCAAACATATTCAAAATTAACCACATCACCAAAAAAATAAAATAAAATAAAAAAACGATAATTAATCAAATCACCTGAGTGCCCCACTGGCCTTTGATGCAGGTATCGGCGGAGATCCTGCCCCGGCGTCCGTACAACAATGGCGTGAGGCCTTCCACCTCGAGCTCATCGTAGACGTAGATCTTGAGGGAGAGTTGGGTCCCGTACCCTCGGTGGGGCCACCGAATAGAGCCGCTGCCGCCATCGCTGAAGCCAAGGAGGTCTTGGGATCTGTGAACCTGATCGATGGTGGAGGATAAGTTGCAGGAACTAGTCATGACTGAGGATTGGTTGAAGAGTCTGGTGAGGAAGAAGGTAGTGGCGACGAGGGCTAGGGAGCCAATATGGTGGGTTCGCGTGCATGGAGGGTTGTGGTGGGGACCCAGGACTCTGGATTTGTTATTCATGCTTCCCATTTGCACCCAAGTATGTGATGATACACTGTGACGAGTTAGCGACGCCTCTTTAAGGCAGACGATGAGACGGGGCAGAGTGAAAACGGCGCCGTTTTGGAATCATACAGACTTGTAAATTTTGGAGGAAATTGCTCTCCTGGTCCCTTTGTTTAAATCAGACATTATATTTGTTAGGATCAATTCAATTGTGGTACCATTTTGGATCCAAAAACTTCATCACATGAAAATAACAATTATTAATAATTTTAATAAAAAATATTCACATGTGCCCGTGATTATTTTTCAAAGGAAAAATAGTAAATTCGCACATTCTCTCTCTCAACAAATCAAAATTATTCAATTAGAAAACAAATGACAACCTATTGATCTTAAATTTGTTATACATTTTATTCCATCAAATCTCTCCCCTTCTCATTTTTCTCTTCCATCTTCTATTGGTATGTATGTGTGCCCTCATCAGCTCCTCAGAGAAAGAGAGGGAGGAGGCAACACATGATAACCAAGCACACAAAAATTCATATGAATTTTTTATACAAAAGAATATGTTTGCATAGCATTATGCTTAAATGAACACATTCATAAACAAGTTTATAAGCAAGCATACAGAGGTCAAAGACTTCTACAAATCAATCATGTTGTGTAAAAGAAAAGGGCAAAGCTATTTCTAAATCACTACTTTAAAAATCAAACTTTGTGAAATTTTTGTGTTGACACATAACTTCAAATACTACAACCAAAGTAGTATGAAGTTTAGGATAGGAGAGAATTTATGTATATATATACACATACTAAGAAGCACGAACTTGACACATATATAACATGAACATGACAACATGTCAATTTTCAAAAAATTTAGGACATAACACGTAAGAGATATGCACAAAATATATAATTTTATATATTTATTATATGTCATATATATGGATATATCATTCAAATATAATATAATACTTATTTTATAAATTTACATTATTTTTTTATTATTATATTCTAAATTATTTAGTTCAATCTTATAGTTAGTTTAATGTGTGTACACGTGTGTTTAAACAAAGAATACAAGTGTCCAAAAAGTGTCCAGATTTAAAAATAAGAAGTTTAAAAAATAGAATACGTTTTGACGAGTGTCGGACACATATTGAGAAATGTCCAACGAGTTCGACACGGATACATCACATTTTTAGAGTTGTCTGTGCTTCTTATTATAAGATCCACTGTCAAAGCTAACCATAGATACTCTTATATAATGTGGGTGTTTGGAAAGTGGCTATTTTTTAGACTTTTTAACTTTTTGACTATTTTAGTAGGCTATTTTAGTTTTTGTGTTTGGAAAGCTGTATTGAATTTTTTGTTTGATTGTTGTATTGAAAAATGTGTTTGAAATGATGTTAAGATAAAAAATAATTAAATTATTCCCCAAAAGTCATGCATGACGTGATGAAGTTGTGCCTGACATGAACTATGATTATGTTGGGATATGAAATGACTAAAGTGCCCCTGTGGGTTGGAATGTTAAGTTGGTGGATTAGTCAAAAAGTAAAAGGGCAAAATCGCAATTTCAAATATGCCCTGCACAGTCATACACTTCTGCCAAATTTGTCCATATCAATTTCTGATTAAAAAAAAAAAATCAACTACAGTACAACTTTTTGGCTATTTGTTTAAAATGAGGCTAAAATGGCCTTTTAGCCTCCTTCCCAAACACCGCCAATATGTCAATTCAAAAAAGGAAAAAATGAAAAAAGAAAAATAAAAAAGAAGAAGATACTCTATATAAATATCAAATCTTACCATTTGATTCCCATAAGATGGATCGAACTATATATGACAGTACATAACACAACTATATAACCATACAAATTAGAAACATATAGTTTTGCACGATAGAACCATATGTAGAACTATAGATAGTCATACACACCAACTAGAACTTTAGTTTTTTTTTTTTAATTATTGATTTTTTTTAAATAGTGAAAAACTTTAGTTATATTAGAACTATGGCAATGCAAAGTCCATGCCACATCCCACTGGAGTACTATCGACTTAACGGTGTGTTCGTTTCAACGTGCTCAATTATTGATTTTTTTTTTAAATAGTGAAAAACTTTAGTTATATTAGAACTATGGCAATGCAAAGTCCATGCCACATCCCACTGGAGTACTATTGACTTAACGGTGTGTTCGTTTCAACGTGCTCATTTCCCAAGGACCTTAGACGTTGGGCTTGTTTTCTATAGCGATCCCGGTTTTCCCTTCCTTTGTTTGTTGTATTCCGGACTTGGTTCCGTGGTTATGTTGTTGTCTTATTCTCATTTTCATCCTTTACTCTTTGTATTTGAGTCTTGGGTTGTGTTGGGCAAGTTTGGAACAGGTTGGTTGTGTTTATAAACCAAAAGTTGATGCCCAGATTTTGGCTTTCACGCTCGAGTGGGGCTTTTGACGCTCGAGCGGGCCCTTTGTTGTTGCTTATCTGCTCGAGCAGACGTTTTGTCGCTCGAGCGCGAATATTTTTCTCCCAGTATTTTCTCTACAGGTCATCGTACGCTCGAGCGAGAGTTTTGACGCTCGATCGGGCCCTTTCGATTTTGTTCCTCCGCTCGAGCGGGGACCATGGTCTGCAAAACTTCTGGTAGTGTGCAATCGACGCTCGAGCGGCGCTTTTTACGCTCGAGCGTGAGTCTATGTCTGACGCTCGAGCGGAGAGTTCCACGCTCGAGCGGGGCGACTTTTATATCAGTAAAGTGACATTTTGGATCACTTTTGACTTTCTTTTTCTCTCCTACTTTTTCAAAACCTTCATTGGAGAGCACCTCACTCTAATGAAGGTGCCCCGCTCGAGCGTTTGATCTAGTAGGAGTGATCTAGTAGGAGTGATCTTCTATCCTTGGGCCTTTGTAAAAAGTGTGGAGCTTGTTGAGGGCTACATTTTGATCCGAAAATATTGGGGTTTGGAGCACTTTCAAATTTCTTCATCTTCTCCCTTGATCTCCGAATTTGAGGTAGGGATAACTACTCATTTGTATGGTCTTTGACATAAACTATTGGTCATTTTGATGTAATGTTGAAGTTGGGTAATTTTGGGTGTTAGGGTTTCAAAATGAATAAAGAGGGGTTTGGTTATTTTGACTCATAAATGTGTATCTTGGGTCTTAAAATGATGGTATTGATGTTGCTGATGATATATGGGACCTTTGGGTCATTGTAGAAAAAAAAGGGGAGAAAGCCCTAAATTGTTGTATGAATTAATTTATATAATTAATTTGGGAATGTTATGGAAATATGGAATTGAGTTGGAAATAATGAAATTGGCTCATTATAAGAGGGAATGGTGGAGTTGGATTTATTAATCGCTCACTTATAAAATTGTTGTCAAATTATCTGTTGATGCATTTATTATCTATTTAGAAATAAATTGCTTTGGGCTATTGGTAGAGGATAGTCTTGATTGTTGTAGACAATGCATGATGATTAGGAGAATTAAAACTAATCAATTGATTATGTCATCGAATATGACGGTTGGAATAATATATCAAATTTATGTATTGACTGCTCATGTATATGATATGTGTTTATATACATTGTGTTGTGTGAGAGGAGATAGGGGATGCACTCCACGGTTTAGGGGAAGATAGGGGATGGACTCCTAAACTGAATTTTATTTGGGAGGAGATAAGGGATGAACTCCATTGATACAACAAATCTGTGTATCATTTATGAAGTATAGAAGTGTTTTAATGTGTTATTGATATAGTGAATCTGTGTATCATTTATGAAGTATGGAAGTGTTTTGATGTGGTATTGATACAGCAAGTATGTGTATCTATTGTGAATTATAGAAGTGTTTTGATATGAGTTATAGTCTCATTAAATTATTGGCCAGGTTCTGAGCCTTATTCATAAATTGAGAACTGGATAAGTAATGGAAAATGGAATAAAACATGGACATATTTGTCATAAAATTGAAATGTGTTATAAGTTGGTATATATGAGTTAAACATTTATTGAATGCTAATGTTTTAGTTATTGCTCATATTATGTTTAGCATATCTCTACTGGGCGTTGACTCACCCTATATGGGACATCATTTTTTAGGTTCAGGTATTATGCCGCCTCCGAGGTCTTAGCTTGGATGGTTGTGGGAGTTGAAGGCTCTTGTTTACTTTTGTATATTACATGTAAATCAAGCCAATGGCTTATTTTGTGTTTTGAGTTAATACTCTCTTTTTTGTAACCAAGTGTCGACTTGGAAAGTTGTAAGCCCGTAGGGCATTTACTTTTGATGTCAACATGTAATACTTTTGTAATGAATACTCTGATAAATGAAATTATGTTTTATTCTTTTATGTCTAAGCATGTCAAGATTGTATGATTTATGAGTTTATTTCGAGGGCGTTACATTTTTGGTGTCACTGTAACATGTTTCATATACCCTACAAGTGACATATATATATTTTTTGATTAGCAAAATAAAAATTTATAGATATATAATGACTAATATTTTACATTGAGGCTCCGTTTGTTTCGACGTAAAATATTTTACACAAAAATATTATTTTTCTTTTAAATTAATTTTATGCAGAAAATATGTTTTTGTTTTTTTTCGATGTTTGGTTGACATTTAAAATAAAAATATTTTATTGCCTAAAAGCCAACTTTTGATTCAATAAAGTGCCATTTATGACTTTTTAGTGAGTTAAGATACTCTAGTATGGGAATTGATCACTTTCATGGTAGCCTCTTGTAATATAAAAACAATATAAGAAAAAATTAGCCCAAAACTTTGTATTAAAAAAAATCAAAATTAAAATAGTGAATATATGTATAGATATGTTTGTTGACAAACATATTGTTGGAGCGAAGGAGATCTTAGGATCTGTGGACCTAATTGACAGTGGATGAGAAGTTGCAAGAAGTAGTGAGTGAGGGTTGGTTGAAGAGTTTGGTGAGGAAGGAGGTGGCGACGACGAGGACCAGGGTGCCAATCTGGTAGGTTTGGGAGCATGG